GGAATTGTATGGTTATAAGTACATTGATTGGCTACTTTATTTACTTCACGCGAGATGACTCAATTTAACGGACACACTGTATACAAACCCTATGTGTAATATATTTTTAAATTCAGATTTCCATGGATATTTCAAAAATTGAATGTTTATCTTATATAGGTTATTATTATTGTTTCCAATTGAAAAAATTGCCGAGGACGTCTTAACTTAAACGTGGATCACCCTGTATATATATGATTCTTACTTTCAAATGTGTCAAATCGGAAATAAAATCGACCTGTTGCAGAGGATTTCTCAGAAATGGATAGTTTAGCTAAAAATAAGTTTATTCAGCTTACATCTCGCCGACGCTCGCTACATAATTTTAGGTACAAATACGAGTAGCTAACGATATTGTCATATAGAGATTCATAGGATTCAACAGGACTGCCCGGGAGGACCATCAACCAAGTTACCACAACGTATAGTTACAAAATGAATGTCATCAAAGGTTTGTATGTATTATCATGTACCAATAATACCGTATATATATAAACCTCCTAATTTTTTTTATTTCGTCCTTTATTGGTCATTCTGCGACGTCATTATGACGTCAAAGTATGACGTCATATGGCTGTGACATTTTGACGTCATTATAGGGTCTCTCAGACGTCATTTTTGGACGTCCACTTCGTCATTTTATGACCAAAAAATGACGTCAATTGGACGTCACTCTGCTACCAGGGGAGCATACACTATCTTTATATCGGGAATCAATCTCGAGACATCCATAAAAATGTGCATGCTCATATCTCAGAATACTCTCTTTTCATTTAAAATATTTTCGAAGATGCAGTGTTGCCGCTTCTACTAGAAAGAAGTAGCAACATTGATATTTCAAATGGAAGACCCTGTATTTTATCGCATTTCCAGATTCTTCCTGAATAGCTGATTTCATCTTTGTATCACACTTTGGGTCTATCGAAAAAGATAACAGAGATATAGGGTGTTCAAAATCGAGATTTTACACTTGAGGATTTTTTTCTGTCGAAACTATTTATTATTGGTCGAAACGGCTCACATGACCCTATCTCAACTTTCTATTCACTATTCATTCATATTTATTCGGAATATATACAGGGTGGTTTAAGATTCAGAACTCTGATCACCCTGTATCTGTTCCGATTAAATATAAGTAAATAGTGAATCAAAAGTTGAGATAGGGACATGTGAACCGTTTTGGCCGATAATGAATAGTTTCAACACAAACAAATCCTAAAGTTGAAAAATCTCGATTATGAACACCCTATATCTCTGTAATCATTTCCGATAGACTCAAAGTGTGATATATCGTTGAAATCAGCTCTTCAGGAGAAATCCAAAAATGGAATAAAATACAGGGTAGTCTACTCAAAATAACAAAGTTGTTTCTACTTTTTGATAGAAGCGGCAACACTGCATTGCTGAAATTACTTTAAATGAAGAGAACGTATTGTGAAATATGAGCATGCATATTTTCATGTATTTCTCCCGACTGATTCTCGATATAGAGATAGTGTAAGCTCGTCGTGACATACCCTGTATAAAATCATGATTCCCTCTATAATCAGTCAATCAATGGTGTAAGTAGAAATTTCATTTGTGTGATGAAATTGATTATTATGAACAAATAATAAGAAACATTTGAATGATAATATCACTCAGCAACTCATTAATTTTTTTCATCTTGAAAAAACTCTATCTGTCATTACTGAATATGATATTATATAAAGCGTGTCTCACCTCAAACGCCCCTTCTTTCCAAATTCTGGCCAGTATGAATATCCATCAGTATGTTTTATTGGAATAAATTATATTATATTATTCTCCATGGTTTCAAACTACTATATGTAAATTTTCATGTGATTATTATCAGAATTTTCCAGGAAACGAGAGCATGAATTTAATTTCCTTGCCTGATGAAACAATTACTCCATTTTATCACAGTTGTGGTTATTGTCATGCTATAAATCGCGCCTCCCACAAAATTTCAATGAATATTCTCCTGATGAAAGCTCTGATATTCAATGATTATGAATTCTGATTTCATGATATTCGTGTTGTAAAATCATATTGCTATTAGATGCTCGTGGTCGTTGAATTACATACTATTTTCCACTGTTGATTGCAGAAATTACCACTTTTCAAGGAAATTCTATTTCATAAAAACTATAAATATAGACTCCGATGAGATTGATAATTTTTGAATGAAATTAAATTGAATGATTGTTAACTCAATGCCTCATCACATAAACTATGATTGAATACCTCTAATAACTCGTTATTATTATGTGGGAATGTCTAAATATGTACCTATTGCGGAAACCATTGCCAGTAATAGTTGAAAATTATGCCTTATATTGATAACACCCAATATCATAATATTCGAAATGAAAGGTTTGCCAATTGGAAGATCTAATTATTATAAACAATTTCATATGAAGATGCAAGAATTTCATGACTATATTATAATGGTACAGAAAGAAGTTACATTTTAAATCGTAAAAATCATCCATACCCAAATGATTCCAAAATATTCTCGATGAAAATAAGAATACTCAAAGTTGGTCGACCACGACTTTATGTGAAAAATAATCGATCAAACAGTAACCGGTTTCGGCACAAGGGCCATCATCAGACTGCAGTACCTAAAATACGCGATGAATGTAGAAATTGTGAAAAATGATTGTCACAGAAAAAACAAAACCTTATAAAGTCACAATGAATAATACAAAAGTTGAAACGTCATTGTATGATCATCAGGGAAAGTCGGGTGGAAATACGTTCAAAACGGCTGAAGAGCCAGAAATATCTAACCCTGATGATGTTGAACATTGAAAAACTGAGTTTTTTTTTGGAAAGTTCAAATCGTCACATGTTGACTGGAAAAAATTCATTCAGAGAATGAAATAAAAAAAATTACATGAAATGACAAGCTGTCACATAAAAGAACGAACATCATAAAACAAGACTGGTGAGAAGAAGATTTGTGAAGGCAAAGAATAGAAAACGAAGTGTCGTTTGGTGGAAAAAAATTAGAAAAAAAGAAGAAGAACCAAGAAAGTTACATCAGAACGATGAATCATTAAGATATGAAAAGAAAAGAACAAAGGAAGAAGAAGATGAAAAAAAATGGAATACAGGCGGAAATAGTTTTATGAAGTTATTTATATGGAAAATTTTATCACAAATATAAAGAATATCAGAATTGTTGAAAACAGTGAAAGAATGATATGAAATATCGATTCGAATGATATATATAACATCAAAAATATTGAAATATTCAAGAAAATCTTCAAAAGTATTTCAACTCTGATAGTCATCTGTATGAAGTATGAAGAGCCCCAGTATTTTCCAGTAATAGATTCACATTGTGGTTCTGCGAAACAGGATCACCATGTATGAAATGAGAATATATTAATCGTAGAATTTTATTGGAAATATATTCATCTTTTCTACGGGTATGACACGAAACTGTTGATTTCTAACTGTTTTTGATACTACAATGATGTACGTCTGCCTTGAATTCCATTTCCATTTGTGGTTATTATTATTCAATAAATCACGTCTCCCAAAGAATGTTGATGAATATCCTCCTGATGACAGTTCTTTCTTGAATAACTTCGACTTTGATTTTCACGTTATGATGTTCAATCAGTCAATCAATCAACTTTATCATTCCCAAAAAACATTTGTATATAGCGGGAAACATGGTGAATATATAAATATATTTGACACAATGAAGAAGGAGGAAGAAATGATTTATTTTTAAGTTCAATTGAGCATGATTCTCGATTGTCTCATCTTTTATGTACACAATGAAAAACTATAATAATTGTACGAGAAAACTATTAGAATGAGAAAAGATGTCATTATAGCACAGGAGTAGATGTTTCTTGAATACCTTTCTAAAATTTTCAATCCTATTAATCAGCTTCAAGTTAATCAGTAGTGAATTGTATGATGTGGTGGAATTTTAACCAATATCTGATTCAATTTTCTTGACAGAAAAATTATCTGCTTGTCTAGTTGTATGGTTGTGATGACTGCTATTAATTTGGAAAACCAAATATGGATTCTTTTGACAATATTTGACTGAATCTATATCTAATAACTAATCTCTGAATTCGTATTGCTATCAGATATATTATGTTGAAGCCAGAAGACAAGTATAGTTCTGTATAGTTTATAACTCGAACGACATGCTGATTTCCCACTCGTATTACAAGCAAACTTCATACTCTTGGAAAATTACTGTCATTCCGTGGTCGTGATTAATTCATAGATGTGAACAAAATATTTCCCATTCTGAAATCGAAATTTCAGGTTACTGTCAATGCAATGGAAAGTATAAGCGAATATTATGAAACAGATCAAGGTAAGAACACTCGAGTCTCCAAGATTTCATCATGAATTAAACTGTTCCGAAGTTCTTGTTTTCGAATACTAGAATGAGCGCCCTTCTGATGATGAAATTGGAACTACTCACTTCTTAAGTATTGAAATTGAATCAATCTCTTCCATTCACACTTACCTACATGGATATGGATAAGCATTCTTGTTGTTTCTGGAACTGTATGGCGAGTATTTATCGAGAAACCATACCATAAATCCAGTGACAATCAACGCAGCTACAATACTGAGCCATACTTCAAGTTTCAGTACAGTCATGAATTTGAACAACGAGGTTTTCCTAACTGGCTTCCTCATAACTGAAAGAGCATCAAATAAATGTATATCATGAAATTGTTGTGGTGGTAACTTTTCTTGAATGAGCGCTGATGATTTATGTATAATGACGGCTTTTGCCGTAGGTATCTAGTTGACAAAGTGCCAATTAAATATACCAACACTCTGACAATAATATCAACAAATCAAAATATTTACATTTCCAGAAATCGATTGGTTCGATAGAATGAACAATATTTCAGAGATAGTTACATGATGAGGGTGAGAAAATGAGAGAAATATAATATGCTTACCAATCGTTATTCCAGTTTGTTCGAAATATGGAGCAACGAAGTCGATCACCTCTTCTTTATCTGCTGTCATTATTATTGCAGTAATTGCTAAATCAGTTTGCTGAAAAAATATTTCTTATGATGGATTGATGGATATGATACAGTTTATCCGTGAAGCTATTATGAATTGATATCGCCAATGAAAATAATCAATGTTTGTTATTGGTGATCCTTACAGTTCGAAAGTGAACGATCACTTCTTTCATCATACGTATATCTGGAATGAATAATCGAAAGAATATAATCGAAACCATTAGTTTCATTTGATAAAACTACTAAAAAATACCTATCCTGCGTAGACACCCGTGAAAGATTGAAACATTTCGCTCGAAAATTCACGTAATGGTTCATTGAGATCAACTTCCGAATTTGGTTTGTTAACATTCATAGTGTAGTATGAACTTGTTATGATTCGCTCATTCAGAGTCGGGCTACCATTTGATTATCTAATAGGTTGAACATGATAATTTTTTGCTATAGGTAGGTATACTGCTATCGCTATCAGGCAGCCACTCTGGGACAGCATGATTTTTTTATAATTGCTTATCTGAATCACTACTAGTGAGTGATATGCCTGTGGCTGCAAGGTTCAACGCATGAAACTGCAGTCATTACCAAAAATACAACTGTCCGCCTGCGACGAAAATAATATTTGACGAGCCTACTTGGGGTTATTCAGTGCCTACTTATCGTTATCCGATATTTTGCTGATTTTTCCCCTCTATGAGCGTTTGTCAGACATGTTGCGTCCCAAAGACATGTTCAATCATCCCCTGTTGGAAAAACTCATGTACAGGACGACAATCTCGACGACATGACAGCTACGAATACTTTCTCTCTTCAATCCAATTCAGTACCAAGAATCTGAATCTGAATCCAAATATAGAATGCAAACATTCTTGAACAAGTGGAGGAATCTTCAGTGTCCCTTTCAATGCTTCTGTTGATATGAGTGCTCTAGTTATTACCAGGATTGATGGCATAATAAAAGTGCGTTTATTCAAGGTATTTTGTCTGAGATATTAGTATTCCACATTCAAAATTTCCTCGTTTTTGGTCTCATTGAACTTTGATATTGTCAAATTGGGTGGGTGCGAATCGATTGATCTATTGAATTCCAAAGATCATCGGTCCGAAATAAACTTTCGGAATCAATAAAATGCTATTCATACCACACACCAGGGTGAAAATATTAAAAAGTTGGATTGGATCTCAGTCAAAATGTCACCTACGTTTATGACTACAATTCTGGAAAATAACTAAATAGCTGCAGAAAGAATGTCATGCAAATAGCTATATGATCACCCACCAATATTAGCAGAGTTCTCCACTTATGATTATAACATTGCTCTACTCCTATTATTAGATGCACTCACTAGCGGTATCAAAGTCGTATACCTACTACAGACATATCGTCTGATAGCACTATACAGTTGCACTCGCTAGTGGCAGCAAGGTTCTAAATGTAATAATCGCGTTTATAATCATCAGCAGTTGACTTTGAGCTTCTTGGGATAATTCGCGAGAGAAGAGAACTCCCCCTGACCGGCCTCCTGAAAGAGGCAAGGAAAGCAGGCCTGGCCACCGGGTCAGGGGTCGAACCTCTCACCTCTTCTAAGGGGAGACACGTCGACTACTGGCCAGCACTGGGACTCTGTAACTCAAAGCGAAAGCGAAAGCATACGTAATCGACTGCTTATGCCGTTTCAGTATTCTGTATCAATATTCGGATGAGGTCGGAGACGCCAAACGTGAGTTCGTAAGCGAAGCAGAAGCGAAGGATTTTGGTTGTCGCTTTCTGCGATTCTCAATGATTGAGGTTATAGGTTTTGGTTTTTGTTGTTGTTCCTAGTTCGAACTTTGTGTTGATTTGAGAAAAATAATAGATTAATAAATGAGGAATGAACCCAAACATGGATAACAAAGCGAGCAAAAACACAACTCAGTCAGTGGGACAGACTCCTCAGTTTTACAAACAAAATCCTAAAGATATTCCAGAGAGATGGAAGTTCCCTTTGGTAGGATTAAGGTAGGGGATGAAAGAACGTGAGACGTGGGATAAAAAATATGATAGACAGTGTGATGAAAACATACAGCTCATTTGGTAGTCGAAAAATAAACTGAAAACTGTCATTAGTGCTGTTGAATAGGGTCTGGAATAATTCATATTCATTCGAATTATCCTTCTCTTTTTTCCTGATACATCAAAACAGGCAGATATAAGTAGCTTCTCCAAAAAATGAAATGTGCCATTACTGAATGTTGTCTCACTGAATCCTTGTTAAGAAAATAATGTTTTTGGTGTGAGTCCATTGAAGAAGACAATAATAGGTAATTAAAGAATCCTACTGATATAATATGCCGATACCTACAACAGTGAAACATAACAGAAAGCCTGGAACGTTCAAATTTGAAAAATTTGCATAATAAGTGCATTGGAAGGGAAAATGATTTGGATAGCAAAAACGTTGGAGACACCCAAGAAGAACTGTGTAATATTACTGTGTACCAATAAGGGAGAATCGAGAGTAAATTCCATGAAACAGGATTAACTGAACATTATTTACCATGTTGAACAAGAACGGATTCTACTTTCACTACATTAATAATCCCATTCAAGATTCTGAAGTGAACTGTAAGAAAAAGTGCATCTGTATAAATGCACTGTCAACATAATATAGCTGCCTTGCAGAAGGCGATTCAAGGAATTATATGTGCTTATCATCTTGTTTAATTTGCGACATAGAGAAGCAAGTTCTGATAGGTATTACATTATAGTATGTGAATAATAATATACCGAGTGTTAGATTATAGAATGATATGTCCATTATAAATATAAGCAGTTACATATCTTACAATATTATTGTTATTCTCAGATCATTTGCCTTTACTAGTTGCATATAAATAGAAAGCTATACCTGAGATATACCTAGTGAGAATATAAATACCAATTTTTTATATGAACAAAGTAGGTACATATTTTCCAATGAGCTGCTCTGTGCAGAAAAAGTTCTTGTTTGGCTGATTACTATTTTTGTTGGCCTTGATGTCAATATCTGTTTGTAGTCAATACATTCATTCCAATTCATAGAAATAAATCATCTTCATATGTGTTTTTGATGTTTTATTGAATATCTTTTCTCTCGGAAACTTCTCCAAGTGCTTTATTTCTGATTGTAACCAAAAATTAACAATACAATAATTCGTAAATGCCCCGCTTTTTCGATCCAATGGGACCAAGAGCTCTCGTGTGACCTCTTACAGCGCGGCCGTGAAAAGGGAGGAGTGACAGGAAGGGCGGCACAGTCCAGCCAGAGGAGAGTGCAGTCATCAGGCCAGCCTGATAGAGCAAACGCTGCGGACCATGGAGGGCCCCGAGGGAAGATCCCAAGGTCCGGAGCTGCGCTTCAGGAACTCCGGCATCGTGAAACCAGGATGGATCTTGGTGACCGCCCAGGATCCAACTCCGCTGGAGTAGCTCCTGAGAGGCTGGACTCCACCGACCTTTGAAAGCATGGCATTCAGAGCCGTGCCATCAACGGAAGCTCCGTGACCGGTGAAAATCGGCTTCTGGCTTAGGGCAGCTGAGATGGACGTTGCCAGGGTAACCAGGGTGCTGAGCCTCCAAAACCGTTCTTTGAACGTGGAGGGGTGAAGGCACCTAGAAACCGTAGGAGAGGCCAGAGGGTGGTTCCTGACATTTATGGTCAGCCAGGGGACTGCCAGGATCCTGGAGGAGCAGGGCATGGGGCTCTATTATGAGATGATCACCCTGGTGGTGCGTAGAGTACCGCCGGGTCCATGCCAAGTTTCCCCGGAGAAAATGACGGTTCCTCAGACAGGGCTGGGGAGGGGTACCACCCAAAGCATGATGAGGCAGCGATGGCGACATTGAGGGTGGAGCAGATAAATCTACAGGACAGTATGGATACAACTGAGGAACCAGAAAGCACCTTAACTGGTGAGTCTGAGATAGTTTCAACACAGGAATCATATGTTTACAGAGGTAGGATTAGGGTCCTGGGTAGTGACAGGTACCAGCTCCTAGTAGGAGAGGCAGGAGGAGAGGAGGCAGCACCGAGGACGGTGATCCTGGCGTCCAAGGACCTCGAAATGGTGTATTTGCAGCAGTTGGGGACCAGGGACGCCACAGTCGTCATCCAAGAAGTGAAGGTAAGATAAACTGAACATAGGTTGATGGTTGGTAGTGTGTATCTACCATATAGCGAAGCGCAACTCGCTCCAACGGAGGGATTGCTGAATATTGTGAGGTACAGCAGAGGTAACGGTCTTCGCATGATATTGGTGTGTGATGCGAACGCGCATAACACGGTTTGAGGTAGCACGGATGTGTATGCACAAGGTGAAGCGTTTCTCGAATATCTACTCTGATAACACAAATATGTCCCATGGATATATATCCTAAGGACGTCCTGTCGGGACATTCAGGACGTTCGAATTTGTGGGACGCACAAATGTCCCACTTGAGGACTAACTAGGGACGTCTTTGAGGGATGTCCCTGGGACAACTATCGAATACCTGAATCCTACAGTATTCCATATCAAGCACCACGGAGGACATCCTCAGGACAATCTATTTGCAACGCTGAGAGATATCAATTGGATGTCCTAGGGACGTACGAATTATTCTTGAATATGAATTCTTCTGGGTCCCTCTAGGAACAGATCTTGCATAACTGAAGAGGACCACCAGTTGAGTTGATGGTTCCCAATAGATCCTGAAGAAGTTTTACTAGGATGTCCGATGGACTTACGTGAAAGACATGGACGAGAAGTATTCATAGCCTACGAGGAATCATTCGTCGGCGAAAGTGGTGAAAGAGGTGAAAGTTGAAGTCCTCGCAGGGACAACATATTGAAAGTACCGACTGGGACGTCCACAGGACGTTAGTTCTATGACATTGGAAGATTTCAGTTCATGTACCAATGGGGACATCCGACGTATATCCTTAAGGGACATTCGAAGGACGTCCCTGAGGGACATTTTGATTGTTATACGATCTTGGAAAT